CTCTAAAAAAAAAAAGATAGTCAGACATGGTAGCTTATGCCTATAATCCCAGCTACTCAGGAGGCTGGGGCAGGAGGATAGCTTTAGCTTTGGAGTTGGAGGCTGCAGTGAGCTATGATCATGCCACTATATTCCAGCCTGGTTAACAAAATAAGACCTTGTCTCTAAAAAAGAAAAAACAAAAAATCTCATTCGAGAATCGTTGCATGTCCCTGTTGACCACGTCTGGGATACCTAAGTAAGAATCATGGTTATAGTCAATAGTGGAAACACATCAGTTATCGATCGGTCCTCTAATTTAGGACAATGAATCATCCAGGTCCTAGTAGCGTTTTAAGGGCACTCTGAATGCCCAAAGAAGGCATGCCAGGGCCTTTTCAGTGGAATAAGACATCTCCTATGTAGGATGTGTTTGTGTGTGTTTGCATCCTAGTATGTGCTTTCCATTCCTACATCTTTGTTCATTGCAAGTAGACAAGTTGAGGCTGGAGACATCGTCCTGCCCGGGTCATGCCACACAGGGGGACCATTTGCCTTGAGTACCCAGAAGGACTATGTCAGGGTGGAGACGTCTCCATCCTCATCAGAAGGGATCACTAGATGTCTTCAGCTGTGGTTCCTGCCACCTAGGAGTCTCCAGAAAAGCTCGACAACCAAGACGGTCTCCAAGCCTCCCGGCTCTGAAGTCCTGTTCATTCTGTTCTGAGGACGAGATCAGCAGACGGTGAGGTCAGTCCAGCTCCAGAAGATGCCTCACTCCCTCCTCACCCGTGGAAGCAGCTGAGGCCCCGGAGCATGATTGGGGCTGAGAATCACCCTCTCCTCCTGAGGCTGTGACTCAGTGGGCACCACGTGCAGCCTCTTGACATCCAGCTGCGTGGACAGCGTTTTCCATGAGCAACCACCAGCTCTCTTTTCTTTTCTTTTTGGGCACCAAGTTACTGGAGAACATCTTTCGTCCTTAAAGAGCACCCCGTGCATGCGTCCCATGTGGTATTCTGTGGAGGCATGCCTTGCTTGGCCTGGCATCCCGAGAGAGGGTCCACCTGCACCAGTGAATACAGGGGACGGCAGCAAGTAGGCATAGGCACAGGGGCTTACAGAGTATGAAGAACAGATTTCAACTTTCAGTCTCCACCATGTCCCTGCTAACAATTGCTGTGTGTCACCAATCGGCAGCTTGTTCCCAGAATTATTTGGGGACTTTGTGGCACACCACAGCCCTCTACCTCTTGGGACAGCAGTGGGTGAGCCTTCTCCTGACAGTGGGAGTGAATCATACCTTCATGGTCCCAGTTTCCCCTAAAAACTCATTCAGGAAGCCAAGCGTGGTGGCTCACGCCTATAATCCCAGTGCTTTGGGAGGCTGAGGCAGAAGGATCACCTGAGCCCAGGAGTTCAAGACCACCTGGGAAACACAGCAAGACTCCATCTCTAAAAAAAACACCAAAAATTAGCCCAGTTTGGTGGCATGTGCCTGTAATCCCAGCTACTTGGGAGGCTGGGACAGGAGGATAGCTTTAGCCTGGGAGTCGGACGCTGCAGTGAGCTATGATCATGCCACTGCACTCCAGCCTGGGTGACAGAACAAGACCCTGCCTCTAAAAAAAGAAAAAAACAAAAAATCTCACTCAGGAATCATTGCACATCCCTGTTGACCGCATCTAGGATATCTAAGTAAGAACCGTGGTTATAGTCAATAGTGGAAACACATCAGTTACCGATAGAAAAGAACGTGCCTGGCACTCACGTGTCCCAAAGTGCCTTTCATAGTGCTTCACATTGAGTGATTCATTTAGACCTCATGGTAACTCTATAAGATATGACATATTTCCCATTTCACAGAGGAAGAAACTGAGTCATGGTGGTACAGTCTTGGCAGAGCTGGGGTTGGAGCCCAGGCTATCTGTCCATGCTTGCGATGGATCGAATGCCTGTGTTCCTCTTCAAAGTGTAATGCTGCCGCCCCAGCTTCCAAGGTGGTGGTGCTGAGCTGAGGCCTTCAACAGATAACCGGGGATAGCTGAGGTCATGAGGGTGGGGCCCTCATGGCGGGGTTAGTGCCCTTGTGAGAAGGAACACCAGAATGCTCACTCCCACTCTCTCTGTCCATGCCCAAGAAGCCTTCCAAGCATGCAGAGACATGGGGCCGTCTGCAGGCCGGGAAGAGGGTCTCACCGGAACCTGGCCAGCCAGTTAGAGACCCGGGTCTCATCCCATCTGTGGGGGGAGGGGCGAGCGGAGCACTATCTCGCTCTGCCATGGGCGGTGTGGGTGACACGGACTGTGCCACAGGGTGTGTGTCAGGCACCACAGCTGCCAGGTCACGGGTGAAACAAAACGCTCCTGCCTGCCTCTTCCAGGACTCTGGGCTCTTCGGGGGTAAGGGTCCCTGTGTCCTTGCTCCTTCCGGATGCAGAGGTCAACAGACCGTCATCACGGTGACAGGGAGGGGTACCTTCTCTCTTCTCGGGGCTCAGGGCTTGGGGCTCAGATGGTGACAAGGCAAAGATAGGCCATCTGCCCTATCTTTGTCAGTAGCTGTCCTAAAGACTGTGCTTTCGTGCTGGCCTGAATACTCTGAATTATCAGGACTTCTGCAACTGTGAGGCAGCTAACTTTTCTCTCCAGGAAGGTAAATAAGTTTGCAGTGTCAGCCGATGCCCGGGCCTCTCCTGGCTTTCCGTATAACCACAAGAGGATTACAATCTAGAAGCAGTGATTGTTAAAGTGGCCTATAAATGCACAACAGATACAGTTTGTTACAGACACATAGGCCCCTCCATAATTTCTGGAAGCTCCGGTCTCACCTCTGCCAGAGTCACAGCAGGGATCAAGGCTCGGCATCCAGGTGTCCCTATGGCCTTTCTCACAACGCCTGCCAGACAGCTGCCCCCAAGACATGGAAGATGGAGACTGCACGTGTGCCTGCAGTGAACCTTGCCTGCTTATGTTGCTCCTGAAAGGAACAGAGAGTATAGATTGCTTGTGTCTACATGACACAGTGCCATTCTTGAGCCTGTCCCATTCTCACCTTGAATATAAGAGTCACACACCCCCAGAGCAGTGATATAATACTATTTCCCTGTCTTCATCTCCCGCGTCACACCGTATGCAGATGGCATTAAGACTTGCCCCGTCTTTACATACAAATAATGACTTCTGGAAGTTACCAGAATGTCTAGTGCAGGGGTCATTCTGGGTGATATAATACAGCCACTTGGTCAGACCAATCATTTGGTCTCTAAAATTGGATGCCAAAGAAAAAATTGGAAATTAAATCGACCACTACCTGTAAAGAAAAATCCCTTTTTTCTTTCAAAAGCTTGTGCCCTAGTTTTTAGAAAAAGAAGCAAGTCCTCCCACGCCGGGGTCAGACTGGGTCTCTTCTCCTCCCCCCTGCAAATCTCACTGCTTCTCAATTTAACTGTCATAAAACACCAAGCAGGGCAGTAGATGGATTTCAGAGGCCAGAAGACCATGGGGAGGCATGGGCTTGGCCCAACAGGCAAGCTGGATGCTCGGGACTAGGGTGGGGATGTCGTGAGGACAGATGCTGGCAGGGAAGCCCTGCAAGGCAGAGAAGGGGCAAGGGCCGCAGAGCATGTGGCCATCCCCCTGCAGCAGAGGACAGAAGCAGAGAGTGGGTGTTGCTTGGATGCCAGGTCCGGGCCGAGGGGACCTGCCCTCGTTGTATTACCTGAGGGGAGCTGCTCTGGCTTCCTGATGTGCAGCCCCTCCCCATCCCTGCAGGGTCCCCTCTGCTGTCCCTCTCCCTGTCATCCTCTGCTTTACAGTGACTTCTAGCAAAACACCTGTTCCAGTGGGATCCAATGACTTAAGACCCAGAACAGAAAATCCAATGAACCCAAAATGTCCGGCTGCACTTTAACTTTGAGCCCCTTTCCGAAGGACCACCTTCCTAGGCCATCTCCATCCTCCCGGCCTTTGCTTCCTGGAAGCCAAAATTTAAGGACTCGGCACCCTCTAACCCCCCAGTTGTTCAGTGTAAGCTCCTCCCTCTCTCTGCTTTCTCCCTAAGTTCTCTTGAACTCACCCAGCATCTGACGTGGCCCTCCACCTCTGTCCCCTCAAACCTCTCTCCCTGTTCCCTCCCATACTACCCCCCACCCAGAGGACCAGGAACAAGGAAGCCTCCTGGAAAGCTGTGCCCTCTCTGCTCTCCCTGCCCTCTGTCCTTCCATGGGAATCTGTCTCCCTCTACCTCTCTGGCTATTGAAATCCTGTTCGGCTTTCAGGCATATCCACACTGGGTTGCCTTTAGGAAGTCTTCCCAGAAACCCCACAGGGTAATTTTGTGATGCGTACCACCTTCCACAGTGGCATATAGAGTATACCATGGGATTTTTGGCCAGGGCTATTCACCCCTCCTTAGGCACCCTGGTGGTCCCCTGCTGACAGGAGGTCAGCAGAACTTGGTGCAGACACCCAATCATCATAACCCACTGCAGCCCAGAACTCCTGGACTCAAGGGATCCTCCCGCCTCAGACTCTTAAGTAGCTGGGACTACAGGCATGTGCCACCACCCACTGCCAGCACCACGGGATTGTAAACTTGAAGTTCCACTTCTCCACCTGCCTTGTACCAAGCAGCTGGGATCCAGGTCCAGGCTCCATAAATGAGCAGAGAACAGAGATGGCTGCTAATAAGGAAAGAAAGGAGCAGGCTGGGAGACATTTATGCCTCAGTGGAGTGAGGCGGGTGGCTCCCGTGGTTCCCTTTAGGAGGGACATGGGACAGCACCCTGATCGGAAGAACTTGGAGAACTTTCTAGCAGAGAGAGGCAACACCACGTCAAACCAGAAGGATGGAGGGGAGAGGTCAGAGAGCTCCAGGAGGCGCTGGTCCATCCTGTCTCCTGGAGGCCTCCCAGGGGCACAGTCCCACTCCCTGAACTTGATGCATTCTGCCGTTTGCGTGTTGTGAAACGTTTTCCGTTGGAAGAGCAGTCATCCATGTGTTGCTTTGTTTCTTGCAGGCAACGATGGTCCTGAGCTCCGCACACTTCTGGCTGGGGTTATTTCTGGTTCCTGCAGCCTGTCTGATCGAGGACGTGGCATGGAGAGCGTAAGTTGAAAAAGTTGCAACCTGCATCTGACGCATCTGTCCCTGATGTTGTCTTTCCCATGAGCCCTGCCCCAGGGTGTGAGCGCCATGGGACAGCTGAAGAGATGCGTCTCCCACCACCTGTCAGTGAAAGATTTCTATTTCACTTCTTAGTTTAACCTCTGCATCATTGTGATATGAACACATCGGCCAGAGGAGCCCTGCCAAAGGCTGTGGGCAGATCAGTGGGGTGGTTGCCTTGTACGTGATGACAATGAGTTTCTCAGTACAGACACGTTCCAGGGGTACGGCTCAAAACTCGTGTCTCCCTGTATTTTAAACTCGGTGCTAAGTGATCACAAAGAGGGTCTGGCTCTACATCGCGTGCTTAAAGGAAAAGTGCGTCGAGGTCAGTCATTTCAAATTCCTGAACAATTCACAGTAGGGATCCTTCCCCTAAGAATCTGGGACATTCGTTCACAGGTCTACAAGAAAATCACAAAGATGAAATGATAATGTGGGCTAAATGGGATATAATTCTTACCCAGTTTTTGCTTTAATGTTTGAAAACGCATTACTTCCAAGATATCTTGATTACAATGGCCAAGAAGCCACTAAGTTCCAAGATCCTGTAAATTTTAATTTCATCCATGAACCAAAGAAGGGCTTGAACGAGTAAGAGAATACTGATTTGCGTTGGGGAAAGACCCAGTTCTTCCTACCAATATGTAATAGGTACAACTTCCCTGAAAATGGAGACTTCTGGCTTGGCTTTACTTTGGGCAAAGCACAATTATTTTGGGGCCCTGAGTTAGAGAATTGAGACTTTAATCCAAACCTTCCCAGAAAAGACATCAGATTTCATTTTATCTCTCCGTTCCTCCCACACACAGTGAGAATTTTTCTTGCCTCACAGCTAAGGATGTCTTTTGAAAAAGTCTTCATTTTGGCATTATCTTGACAACCGGTGGCACTTAACGCAGAGACAGAGAGAGGAAAGAATTTTTAGCACATATTTTCTCCCCCCCTTCACTAAGTTTTTCAACTAACAAAAATTAAATAATTCTTAATTTAATAAATGCTTTGATTTACCACAATTTCCATCTCATTTGCTAAAACTGTCCTGTAAATGACAGAATCAGAATCCTCGGAAATAAAGAGATGATAGCCAGGAAAGATATTTTCTTAATCTAATAGATGTTACTGTAAGAAAATATTTGTCCTATTATTTGCTCTTTCAGCCAGTAGACCTAACGGTGGCATAATCTATCTCCTCACCGAATTGTTCAATTTTGCACAAACAAGTTACTTTTAGGTAAATCTAATATGATCCTGGCTAGATCCAATGTCCTTTTCCATTTATACTGATTGAGAACTAGTAACATATTTATACATGTCTATTTGTGTGTGTGTGTGTGTTTTTTTTTTGAGTTGAGTCTCACTCTGTCGCCCAGACTGGAGTGCAGTGGCCGCTCCCG